GTTATACTATAATTTGATCCATTCCTCCACATTTTCAATATAGGTGCATAAAGTTTGTAGTATTAATAAATTATTATGTTATCATCATAATGGAGACTAGTTTGAGTATCTCCTTTTTTACTCCTGGCATGGAGCTTATTAAGATTTTCTTTTCTAGCTTTTCGTTAGCTTAGCCAATGGCGTGTCATTAATTGTTTATTTTTTCCAAGAGACCAACTTTTTGTCTTTATTAACTTCCTGAATACTTTCCTGTTTCAATTCGTATTATGTTCTGATATAGATCATTGTTTAGCATTTCACTTCTTCTGCTGGATTTGGGTTGGTCTGTTTTTCTTTTTCCAGCTCTTTGAGTCGTATATCATTAGATTGTCTATTTGTGATCTTACTTGCCTTTTGGTTATAGCATTTGACGATAACTTTGCCTCTCAGAACATGCTTTAGCTGTGTCACCAGAGGGAGTGATAACTTGTCTCTGCCATCTGGTGTTTCTCTCATAGAAGTTTTTTTTTCGTCTTGATTTCCTTCATTTACGAAGTTAATCATTTTAGTGGAGGTTGTTTATTTCCACGTTTTTTGTGCTGAAATGTGAGTTCTGTTAGGGGTTGATTCTGAGTTTTATTCCACTGTGATCTGGAGAATGCGCTACATGGTATATTTCATGTTTTTTAAATTATTCTTGGAGGATTTTGCTTTGTGTTCCTAGGGATATGGTCAATCTTAGAGAATGTCCCAGTGAGCTGATGAGAGAACATTATTCCAGTTGGATTTGGGTAGAAGTTCTGTAGATGTCTGTCAGACCCAATTGTTTCTAGAGTTTTGTTTGGAGTCCATTATTTCTTTATTAATTTTCTGTTTGGAGGATCTGTCTCGTGCCGTCGAATGGCGGGGTGTTGAAATCTCCGGCGATTATTGCGAGTTGCTATTTTAATCCATTGCTTTGCTCCAGTAGGTTGCGCTTTATGAACTGGGTGCACCTAAGCTTGCGTGGATATATATTAAAAATTGTTATCTCTCTCTTGATGGACTCTCCCTTCACCATGTATCATAATGACCGTCTTTGTCTTTTATACTTTTTGCTGGTTTAAAACAACGGTCTTAAATTAGAACTGCAACCAAGCTTCCTTTTGGGTTCTATTTGCTTGGATGATTGTCTCCACCTTTTATTTTAGTCTATTGTGCATCCTTGGCAGGTTAAATCGTGTTCCTAGAAGACGCATATACTTGGCCCGCTGATTTTCTTATCATCAGCAGCCTATGTCTCTCTTGAGTGGAGAGTTAAGCCATTCACATTTATTTGAAGAGAACTGATAGGTAAGTAGATTATGATCATTCTGTTGGGTTGATGTGTTGCATAATGTTTCTGTCTTGAGCATTGTAATATCTGGCCTTAATATCTTTGGTTTTGGTTTGTTTTTTATATCGGATTATTATTATGTGCGGCATACGCTGTTTTAAGTACTTTTGTAGGTGTGTCTTGTCTTGGTGAATCTCTGAGCTTTGCTTGTCTGCAGAATGTTTTTATTTCTCCTTCATATACGAGCTTAGTTTTTTGCAGGGAATAATATTCTAGGCTGGGCACTTGTTTTTTAAAAGAGGTGGAGAATGGGCCCAGTCTGCTCCTTGCTTGTAAAGTTCCATTAAGAGGGAAAGTCTGATGTTTTCGAATTGGCTTTCCTGTATGTCACTTGCTTTTTTGTCTTACAGCTTCTTAGAAGGGCCTCTTAGTTGATTAGCTTTGGGTTCAGTCTGATGACTGCATGACGTGACGTCTTCCTGTTTGCATTGGAACTCCAGGGGTCCTCTGGGTTCTTCTTGAACTTGTATTATCGAGATTTTGAGCAAGGCCTGGGAAATTTTCTCTATTATTCTTCAAAAACGTTGTCCAGCCCCTTGAGTTTGTTTTCCCTTTCGGAAACCTATGCTCCCTTTCACTGGTAGGTTTTTTCACATAATCCCAAACTCTGTAGGCATTGGTCTTTCTCTTGTTTCTCTGCTCTATTTCTGTGACTGATTTATTTATTGGAGGTTATCTTCAAGCTCTGAGATTCTTTCTTCTGCTTGATCTCCCTGTTCTTGAGACTTTCCACAGTATTTTGTAGTTCTCTGAGTTGATTCTTCATCTCCAGGACTTCGGTTAAAGTTTTCTTCACTGTGTCAATCTCTTTGTTGTACCTTTGTTCCATTCTTGGAGGTTTTTTGTTTTCTTGGTGTTGGTTATTTGAGTTGTTGTTGCAGCTGGGTGAGTGTTCTTATGATCCACATACGAAATTCCTCTTCTGTCATATTGGTTGCCTGATTTTGGTCGGTGTCCGTTTCTAGGGGGCTGGTGCTCTTCCTTGGGGGTGCGTTTTCTGTTTGGTTCTTCATATTTCTGAGTTCTTTCGCTGATTTTCTTCCCATGTCAATCAGTTGTTGTTTCTTTCTTAGGTTATTGTTTGGGTATTCACACACCTTGTTTAGTTTCTGAGGCGTTAGGTGTGCCTGTGGGTGAATTGGACACTCCCTGTATATTGAGTCAGTGGGATGCCGTGGCAAGGCTGTGCAAGATGCCGTCCCTGTCAGTAGGTAGCGTTGCTTGGAGGAACAGGCTATGGTGTTGATTTTGAGTCCTGTTATCCAGCTCTCATTCTGGGCGGAGCTGGGTTGGATAAGCCTGCCCTCAGGCCATTAGCAGGGGTCAAAGTTCTGTTTTCAGCTTCCAGGAGAAGCTGACAGGGTGGGGCTGGAATGGTCCTGCTCAGCCAGAAAGTCTGGGTGTCGGGGTGGGGCTGTCTGAGAGACCCGCAGTCTGCAGCAGGCCTTGCCTCTTTCCACACTCTCCAACTCTCCAGCTACTCTTGGGCCTCTGCCAGCAGGCCAGACCACAAGCCACCAGGCCTCCCCGGACTGTGGTGTCGGCGGGGAGGTTCCCTGCACAGGAACGCCACCTGGGTTGGGGGCACGGCCTCCTCCTGGGAGGAGGGTTGTTCTCTAGGGCGCCGATCTGCCCCTGGAGGCACAGAGCCCTCAGTAGGCTGTTCACGTATAACCCTTCTGGGCCCCGGGCAATGCTAGCCCTTGGTGCAGGGGATCTGGTCTGCAGGTCCGACCTCTGGGTCCAGATTCAAACTGTATTCCCACCAGGGAGAGGATTTCGGTCCTAATTCACCCACAGGGAGCCCAAGCTGGGTCTATGTCTCTCAGCCTCTGAGTTCGGCACCGTTTTCCTGGGAACACGGTGCCAGCACACCTGGAGGGGCGGGCGGGGTCCCAAACGGGAAGTCCGTTCCCATGGAGGTGCCTCCAGCTGGGGCTGTATTGTCTCTCTGGGCAGCGCGGGTAGGGTTGGCGGAGGAGGGAGGAGGCAATATGGCGCCTGCGGGCGGCTCAGGTCCGTGCACCGGAGGTGCCCGGAGGAGTTGGGAACCTGGTGCCACGTCTGCTACAGGCTCACCGTTGGCAGGCAGCGGCAGTCTCTGGCTGGTGTCCGCAGGTCTCTCCACCCGCTGGGGAGCCCACAGCAGTCCCGAATGCAGGGGAGGGGAAACAGCAGATCCACCTTTTTTTTTTTTTAAACCCTTTGCCCGTGTTGTCTCCGGGCTGCTCCGGTGGTCTCAGCCTCCAGTTCTCCTCCGCAGCCTCCTCCCGTGGAGTCTCCCGGGGTCTCAGGTACCCCTCCTTCCAGCCCTTGTCCGCTGTATGCTCGTCTTCTTGCTTCTTTCCTCTAGTTTCTGCTAGGATCGGTCCTCTCCGCAGAGACCCTCTGTCTGGCGGTGTTACTCGTCCGCCATCTTGCTCCGCCCCCCTGTTTTCACCATAGTTTTATCACAGTCTTATTTTTCTGCATCATTTTGAAATGACAACATTTGAGGGGCTGAGCTTGCCCTGGATCCAGGTGCTCATCCACAGGACACTGATGGTCATCCCATGTTCCTGTTGTTCAGCAAAGATGTTTATCTGCTTCACACTTTAGCTTCATTACCAATCAGGGGCTTCTGCAAGGATCAGGCCCTGTTGAATTAGTAAAGGGATCCAAGAGGACAACTCAGTGGAGTAAATGAAATTCAACAAATAGAAAAGGAAGATAAGTAAGAACTGAACTGGCAGAATGATGATCAGAAAGCATCTAATTAGACTAAAAAACATGTTGAATCAATATTAAATTGATGATTAGAGTATTAAAAATAAGGCAAGGAGACCCCATAAAAATAATAGGAATATAATTATCTCCAATAGCTTTTCAGAAATTTCTCAAAAGTGTAAGGGAAACAGCAAATTGAGCTAGGTTTTCTACTTTAAACAGATGAACAGAGTTTTATGTCATCTACATAACCTTACCTTAATACTATATTTCTACCCAAATTAGGTTATTTGCCCCATGCTTGGGGTTAAATATTGCATAGTCCAGAATTCTATGGGTCTTTCCAGTACATGAGTCAGCCTATGAAGCAGTTTACTTAATATCCATAAGCATGAAATAAATATTGGCAATTCATTACTTAAGTTGTAGCTACACTTGGTTCCAACTGTATATTATTTTAGCAGAACTATATTTATCATTTAATAAATATTCATAAAGTACTTATTCTGTGAAAGCCACAGGGTATGGTTTGTGAAAGGGGAGGGAAGTAAAACAAATGTATATGAATCTCACCAGAATGTGTGAATTGTACATATCTACTTCTTTTAAGTCCTTATACATAACAAATGCTCTCTCAAAAACCTGGGGGTGACTTTGCAAAGATAATGCAGGACAATTTTTTAAGAATAAAATTATTTGATTTACTAATAGTTTTTCTCCTATTTTATAGCCATTAGAATATAAAGTCAGGTCATGAATAAAAAATAATTATATCTGCATATTCTGGAATAAAAACATCAAAATCATGTAAAACTCCTTTATATAATTCACAGATACAATACTGTAATGCCATGATGAACAAAGTAAATATTTTCAGCACATTTGTTTATAATCAGTATGACAATTTTGGTTGCACTAATTATGACATTTCTTTTTTCAGATTTCGGAATTACTGATCCAGAAGCTCAACCAGAACTCAGTACACTTTGAACTGAAGCCAGGGGTTCAAGTCTTTGTCCATGCAGCCCACTTAACAGCAGGTCAGTTTCCATGTCCCTGGGTTCTGGTTAGTGGTTCTGGCAAAGGGAACCCCAATCTGTGTTTCCCTCATCATCACGAGGTTAGATCGTACCACTGCTAATCAGAAATCGGGCTTCAGATCTTGGAGGTTCCCTTGTCTGATGTTTCTGCTTTAATGGGGAACCAGTTAGACAACAGAATAAGGTGGCATTTTCTACTTAGTCTTTGGAGAAAAGTATCAGTGAACCACTTAGATACATCTCCTCATGTGTAGCATGTTTCATTTCTAGAGAAATCTTGAAAATAATGTCCACCTTACATATAATTTTTTTCTGGTCTTCTGCTAAGCCTTATTCTCAAAATGTTCATGTTACAAAGGATCTGCTTTTTTAAAGTATCAAGATAACGTAGTGCAGGAGGAATAGCAGGGACTTGGGAGGTGAACAGGACCACACCCTGAAACTGAACCTGGAGTTGGTCATGATCTCACAAATTATTTAATGTCATTGAGGCTCCATCTCCTTACCTGTCAAAAGTGTTTGGGGTGATAAATCCTTCTTCTAAGGCTATAGAGAGGTTCCAATAATGATGCAAGTAATCCTAAGCATTTAAAAATAGATTTTATTATGTTATATTAATAATAAATTAAATTAACAATATTTATTGAGTAACTATTTTTGCAGAGTGCTGGTGCTTCATGGATACAAACACCAGTGGGAAATTATGTTTGTCTTCAAAACTCTCATAATCTGGTTGTGGTATGGGGAAGTTTGGTGTAGCAGCGGTTGTGGTGCTGTGGGGTGGAGGAACAGGCAGTGAGGGGTATCCCAATGAGTAAAGTGTATAAATGCTTATAGAAAGAGGCAGCAGAGCATATTTAAGCACTTGGATTTTTTTTTTTCCAGCCAGATCGTTGATTTCAGTCTTGGCTCTATTACTTACTATGTAAACTTGAAAAAGAGTTTTCACTCCTATATGCCTTGGAGGTACATAGAAGGCACATACCTTGGAGGTAATAGCACCTGTATCAGTGGAATTATGTGATGATTAATTCAAGTAATGTGCTTAAAATAGTGTCTGGAACATAGTAAGGTATAATTTTTCTTTTTATTATTAACAACCAATGTGGTATAGGAAATTTAAAGCAGAGATGAATTGTATCCAATCAAAATGATACAAGAATGTGTCGTGGAGGAGGTAGTTTTTGGGGAGAACCTCAAAGGATAGATAAGACTGGACTCATTCTAAGCACCAAGGAAAAAAGTAGCAGTTACCAACTACATTCTCTGGCTTCCTAGAGATTCCTGGCGGTGCCCCTATGTCTAGAGGAAGGCCAAGCAGGCTGGCCACTAACCTCTCTTCCTCCTGGATTTTATCTTTTTTCTTTATTGGAGTTCATAGAAGATTTCATTTAAAAAATAAATCTCACTGCCTTAAAGAAATAAATATTTATAAGCTACTGTTCCTCCATGAGATATGGAGACAGCGTGAAACATACCAGGCTGGGCCATTTGTACTTACATTCATGAGCTCTGGGAGCCATGGAGACCTTTGAACAGAAGTGTGACTGATTCAGAGTGTCACTCGAGGAAGGAATGACTCTTAAGAGAAAGGAGAATCGAGTAGGGCTAATTTGCTATTCTGCATCTTTTCCTGCTCACCCATTGAACAGATATTTATTGGATGCCTGCCTACTCTGGGCCATGCAGTGTTCTCAGCACTCGAGACAGAGTCTCTGCCTTCATACACTTCCATCACTGGTCTAAGCCAGGCAGGAGGCAAATGAACAAATGCCACTCTCTGAAGAGTGTGCTGATAAAAATACTATGAAGAAAAGGCTACCAAATTTTCTCAGGGCATTTGGTGATCTTTACTGGCCTTTTCCTGCCCAGAAGGTGACCTTTGGTCTTTGGTGAATGGGGGTAACCCATGTCAGAATCACTCGTGGCTGGTTGTATGGAGACTGATCAAAGTCCAGAAACAGAAGCTGTAGTCATCCTAATAGCCAAACTACTGGCAAATGTTGTCAACTGAATAGAAGGTAACCATTTGAAATTGGTTTAAGCAGGCTCATTCATGTATTTAATCTGATCAGGTGACCTAGCCTTTTTGGGTGGCAGACTGAACCTCATCACCCACTAATTGCTCCCTTTGAGTTTAGAGGTTAAAAACAACTGAGCCCGATATTTCATACTGAACTCTGGGGGTGAAGGGATGTGGCCAACTAGTGTGTCCTTTGTGATACAAAAGTTGCTTTGCAGCACACTTGGCTTCTGAATGAACACTATCTTCAGGCTTGACTTATCCAAAAACAGTCCCTTTACTGTTCCCCAGAGGCCTCTGTTGGAGGGAGAGCACCCCAGGTCAAGCTAGGCAGGGAACTAGCCCCATGCCTCCCATTCTTCAGTTCTGGAGGCCTCTCACATTTCACCCCTTTTCTTCCTTCCATACTTATCCTCCATCAGTTATTATCTGTGTCTGCTTCTTATTTAAGTGATTATTGCATCACACTCCAGAGATGGTTCGGATTACTTTGGTGAATTTGAAATCGTATTTTAAATGTTACTCATGGATGCCTTCTTGTAATGACAGCTGGTTGAGAGTGGGAACTAAGTTGAAAAAAGGAATCAAAAAAGTAGATAATTAGCTGAGACTGGTTTGGCCACTGGCTTGGCCAGGAAAACTGATAGAGCAAGGACGAAAAAAGGAATCCATGGACTTAATGGTTTTATGTAGAGAAAGAAGTCAATTCCTGATAACTATGAAAGGTGAATCCCACTATTATAAGCTCCGGATGGCAAGAAATAATACAGTGTTGGGAAGAACTGAAAACTTTTTTTCAATTCATATTTCTAGTTCATTCTATAGCTAAGAGTTTGTGGAGCAGGACCCAGATTCCTGAGAAAGGGCTGGCAAAAGAGAGGTATGTTCCTGGGAACCCAGATAAGCACCCTAAGATTGAAGGAGAGCCCTTGGCAACATAGGTATGCATAATGCAAGATCACCAAGAGGACAGAAACAAAAAATGCAGTTCTAAGTAAGAGCTCCATCTTAGGCTGAGCCAGTTTGGAGAGTGTAAGCAAATCCTTTGACTTCTAACCATTGTAGCTGTTGAGGATTCTTCCCTATTAGATTTCACACGAAGGTCTTTGGGCTGTGTAATCCCAAACATAATCACAGGCATTACTGAGCTTTCTATCATGGCTGGCTCGGCAACTAGAGTAGATATAGGTCTATGTGTGGATAATTGGATCCAGTTGAAAGAGTAAAGGAAGATAATATCAAGGGCTGACAGAATAACTGAGTCTTGGAAACTTTTGCTATATTGAGTTTGGCTATGCTTGTCATAGTAGTTTTAGGACTGGAAGAATCCAGAGGTGAAGTCACCTTGGGCCAGACTTTCACCTACAAGAGACAAGGGTATGTCAAGACTGGCACTTTTCAACAATCATGATGTAGAAGTAAGATATGCGAGAGGTGAGTTTCCTATTGGAGATTGCTCCTAAGTTAGTTAGCTCTAGCAAAAAAAAAAAAACTACTTGAACAGGGTGGTCGACTCTACATAAATCAAAGACAGTGGAGGGAATTCTCCTCTCACACATGGGAAACTTGGCACTTTAGGTGATGATCAGTGGATTGAGATGCTTGCCACACTTTCATTTATTAGGTTGAAATTAACACATTTATATTTGGATGGCTAGGAAGAGAAGGAAAAAGGAGAAACAGTGGGGAAGAATATTTGAGAGTATTTGATTCACAACTTCCACCCCAACTGTTTTTTCCTTCCTCTTATCCCCCCTGCAGGCAGGGGAAAATAAAAATTCAGAAGGGAAAAAAAAAGAACCACTGTCTGCAACATTTCATGTCTCATAAGCAGGATTGCTAATACCTTCCCAGGGACTGTTACAGCACGCTGCTGCATTCCATTAATTGCTCGGCAGATGTTCAGCAGCCTTCTTTTAAAAATGTTTGAGACAGAGTATGTTGCTGGGGAGAGAGGCAATGCATAATTTGGTTTGTCTCCGAGGAAAAAGAACTGTCTCTTTTCTGGAATTTACTAGCCTCATTTCGGTTTTCAAATTCAGTTCCCTGTTTGCTCTTATGGGAACACAAGGAAAGCATTTGCAGATACCTGAATGTCATCAGAGACTGAATTTTGTTTGTTTTCTCTTACATGTCCTGTTTGGGAATTCATTAACTTTGGTATCTAAGCTGAGCTAAACTTTGAACGCTGTCCTTGTTTAGGTCCTAGCCCTTCCTGTGCCTCTTGGTATTTGTGCAAATCTTCTTGAGGGCCTAACCAATCCTGACAGCTATGTTTCTGAAATTCTCTTTGCAGAAAGGAAAGATTTGAAATTGTGTGAGAATAAGGAGAGAATGGGAAGCATGTTTCAAGAAGGTTGAGGGAGGGCCATGACCTGAGTGGCGTCCTTTGATTTTTAGTACCTGATGGCAGCTGGCATCTGTGTTTAGCAGACAAAGGCTATGATATTGTGAAACAACCCAAAGAGACTAGAAATCAGTCAGGCTGAGTATTAGACTGGGGGCACTGATGATGTCTTGACCAAAGTGTACCTTAGCTCATGCCATTCCTGATTGGAATATTCCACTGCACTTTTTCACCTCTCTATATCCCTGAAGTCTATTTGTATTTTGAGGCTCAGTTCAATGCCAACATTTGCAGGACATCTTTCTAGAGACATTTGTCTGGATAATGCCTTCCCGTTGTCTCAAATCACATGGATTGTTTAATTTGTGTATGTCTGATGATGCTGATCATAAACATCATCATCATCATTATCACTTCTATTTAATTTCTTGTGGCTATGATTGATTGTATTTTTATATTTTCTCCATCTTTGTACTTACCAAAGAACTTGTACATATCAGGTGCTCAATAAATATTGCTTTTATAAGTTATTAGATGCATAATTAATTTATAACCTGCATAGATATATTCAAAATCCTATTCCTCCAGTTAAGCTTCAGATCCAATTTATCCAATTGTGAACCCGTCTCC